AAAATAAATCATGCCCAGTGTTGTGATGCTCTGTCATCCAAGAATAATCTAGAAAACTTAAACAAAAGGCTGGAAATAGTTAGCCATCTCTGTGCAGAATAATTAAACCCTTCTTGCTGATGGTTATCTTTTCTTGCACCTGGAGTATTTCATGATCCTCTGATCATGAGGAATATGGTTATCCTGTGCAGTCTCTGCTGGTTTTCTGGAATTTTCTCCCCAATGCTTGGCCTCCTCTAATCCTAGTAGTTTTTTCTCTCATAATTAGCACTAATTTTCCTACCTGAACCACACAGCAGCTTCTTGCTTCCTAAGATCTGGAGCCTGCTGATACCTCAAATATCTTAGGGTTTTTTTACAACAAATACATACAAATTTGTCTGAATTCTGAACATTCATTTTAGTGTGAATAATGACAGCACTCTGCCAAAAAGAAAATAAATGCATTGATTGCTGTGGTGACAGCAAAATGGGTCACTGCAGTATTAGGGCTGATTTTGTGTCTTGACTATCTCATATAAAATAAAATCAGGTATACAAAAATAAATTAAATAAAAGTAGGTATATAAAATTAGGATCAGTGCAAGACTACTTCAGACAAAACTGAACTGAAACCTCCTTTTAGTGGCTAATCTCAAAATGGCATTGTCTTGGTCTTGAAGTGAATTGTCAGTGTGTCTACAAGAGAAGTTGGCATTTCCTACTGCAAGTCTCTATAGGAGTATATTATAAAGTCCCATGCCATTTGGCCAGGTGCTTTTGGAACCAAGCAGCTTATTGTCAGTGGATATGCTCACATATCTTAGGACACAGGCAAAATTGTTTCTTCCGTAAGACAGCAAAGAGCAAATGAATGAGGCTTACTTGTATGAGATGGTAATATTTGCCCTATAAATGTTCCTACAGAAAAAGAAAAATCATCAAAATATCTTTCTAGTTGTTGCATAATATGTAATCTTTTGCTGAGCAGGAACATGGTAAGAGTGGTTACCCTGGAAAATGGGAGGAGAAGTTAAGTAGTTCTTTGTTCAAGAACTAAATTTTGTATTTTATTTTTGCAACAGAAATTTTAGCCTTTTGTCTAAAAACTACTCATCTCCAAAACAAAACTTTTCAATTGAGTTTTGTAACAAGAGGTTTGTAACTGCGTCAGAAATTGAAAGTATATAAACCCTTGACTGAAGTAGCTGTTTTCATGAAAACTTTGTCTGAATTGTGAGACCCAAGCTGGTGCAGTATAATACCTCTGGTATGTGCTATAATTAAATGTGCTAAAAAAACCATAAACCACTTAAATTCCTCTTCTAATGTGAGCATACTATAAGTATTGTTAGAACAGGTGGCCTAAAGATCACTGTTAAATATGCTTACGTAGTGAACATAACAATTGCATCTTGGTAGCCTTGTCATGTTAAGTAAAATAATTCAAATAGCTTTTTCAGAAAACCATTTACAAAAGCTCACTGCCCTTTCAAAGTGAAATTTCAGAGGGCTCCTCTCTACACAAACCATTCATTTTCTTGACATTTCAACTATGTTTGACACCATGGTTAGGTTTTAATTTGGACCTGTGACAACAAACAGCTCAACTTTCCTCTAAGTATCTGCTTCACAAGAGACTGACTGCATTTTGGATAAAACTGTCACTTTAAGTAGGCTAGTCTTCTGAAATATTAGTGAGTATTACACACTTACCTGATTAGTAATAGGAGTCTTGAAGCCAACTTGGATCCAAGCACCATGTGTGTAGAATGATGTGTATATATGAAATTGAATTCAGAGTTGGACCTTGAATGGGTTTTTCAAAAGATCTTAGCCGAGTTAAGAGGACTAGTGCCACTGTGGCTTTTGCTTTTAACTCTTATTGGTGCTTAAAAAAATCCTTCTGTCATTGCTATAGTTCATATGAAATACTTCTATTTGAATAGCAGCAAAAAATCCAAATGTGATTAAAATACAAATTTTCAGCATAGATGCACTTCCTTTTCTTTTGGACAAAGTGAAAAGAAGATAGGCTAGTAGCTATATTTTATATTGCCATTACAGAAGCTGACTTTTTTCTTATTGCTGTAAGCATGCATATGATTTAGTTGACTTCCTAAGTGAACTTTTGGGTTGTGCTGAAAATGCAAGAAATAGCAAAATGATTTTAAAGATGACAACTATGCATTTGTGTCTTTCGGATGAATTTAGTTCTAGACAGAACTCAGGAAACAGAAAGTTTCTGTTCAGTCCACAGCTCTTATCTAACTCCTGTTAACTTGACTTATGTTTTTCTGGACAGCTGATTTCCTTTGCATGAGAATATGTCTCAGCTTTACCTCTTGTTTCTTCTGCTGATAATTAGAATAATTAGAAATATGATAATTAGAATAATAATACTTATTATTTCTTACTTGGAAAGTGGTATGCCATATATGCATATGTATGCTAGAAGTTAGATTTCAGTAATCCCCACCTTTCACACAGGATACTCAGTTGCTGGTGATGAATTCCAGAAATTACTGACCTGAGCCTGATAGGAACTGGTGGCCGTGCTGCGTGAGCTGCTGTGTCTTGTTAGTAGCCACATGCATCAACATTAACATTTGTGGTGGAAGTACAAAAGTGCTAAAAATCTCCTCATCGAGGAAATATTCTTGGAGTGGCAGGGTGAACAAGTACAGAAGTGTGGTTATAATTTACAGATGTATTTTACAGGAGGAGACTGTGAGTAAAACCACATAAAGCAATATGAGGCTGACTGGATGACTATGTATCTCTCTAGCAGCATGACTTATCTCTGGCAGGGTATCTTTATTCCGAGTAGATACTAGTGTCTTAAACTTCTACCTAAAATAGTGTAGGTAAATTCAAGTGTCTTTTACTAGACGGGAAGAAAGGAGTGAGGAAAGGGAAAGGGAAA